ATTGATATTGGAGCTAATATTGGTACTTATACAATGTATGCTGCTGCATTAGGTCGATTTGTATTAGCTATTGAATGTTTTGCTCCTAATACTGATCGTATACATCGTGCTGTCCAATTAGCAAATGTTTCTAATCGAGTTGTTCTTGTAAAAAATGCACTTTATACACATTCGGGACAATATTTACGTTTATCAAATCATCCAATTAATGTTGGAGGCCAAGAATTAGATGTTGTAACAAAACCAAAACCTAATCAACAAACAATATCTAATCAAAGTATAGTAAATGATCCATATATAGTAAAAACAATAACATTAAATGAATTAGTACCGATATTACATGCACGTGGTATGCGTGGAGCAATAATAAAAATGGATATAGAAGGAAGTGAAAGTTTTGCTCTTGAAAGTGGAAGTCAAGTATTTGATTTATTTGATATACCATTTATACAAATGGAATGGTTTAAAGTACGCGGTTTTCCTGATCGTGCTAAATTCTTATTAGATTTTTTTTACTAAACGTGGTTATGTACCTCAAACATTTCAATGTCAAGTATTAGATATACAACGCACGGACGTATGGCCTAGTGATTTATGTTGGACGAAAAAAGATTTTTCTTTTTGTTAATTTATTTTTATTTTAAAAAGTTTTAATAATCCATGCAACTCATATATATAGTAGCGACAGAAAAAAATTGAAAATAGCACGTTTTCAGTCACGTGTCTAAGAATTCTGTACTACAAAGGCTCAAATCGTATGAACCAAGCACCCTCGATACTACTGACGTTTTGATTAAAATTGAAACAGTGCTCCGTTCAATCTATGATATAACCAATTCAATACTAGCTATGTTAAGGTTTCATTAATAAGCTCTAATGGTGAAACTTCCAAAAATATCAAACATGATATTTTGCGAGTTTTAGAAAATTCTTTTGGATTATTTTTTTTTAGTTAAGTCGTCTTAACGAGCACAAGATTCCAAACAAATTGAGCGATCGTCATATTTTTACAGAACTACAACCGTTATCGAACGGAAAAAAAACAGAAGATTTTTATCATAATGCTAACCTTTAAGAAAAGATTATAAAAAAAATCATTGACAATTTAATTTTGTTAAAATCTTATACTATTTAAAACAGTTTTACTAGAAAACAATTCCGAAAAAGGTTTTTCTAAAATTTGAAAATTACTATGTCTGATTACTTAGAAATTCAGCCGTCAGAGATTATCCATGAAGTTTTGACATTAATAACACTGAACAGATCATGACATAAACTATACAGAGCACTATTTTTATTTGAGTAAAAAGGTCAATAGTGCCGAATTGAAAACTAACGACGTGCCGTTCTCTAGATTATTATCATCATTGTGCATATGAATTGTCCGAATAAGCTGTCATGATACTCTATATATTTCAATATATCGAAAGATTTCATTAATTAGAATTGAAGCTTTTATTAAAATTCATATAAACCAGACGATTTGATAAACAAAACAAAAATCTGCCGTGCAATTATCCTAGAAAAACACAGACGGAATGTCTGTTGAGTTCTTTAAGTATATCTCCACTTTATAAAAAAATGTTTTATATTTTTTAAGAGTGCATATTTAAGTATATATTGATTGATTAATATATGACTAATGAAAATAATACCAATCAATCATTACTTAATTTAAAATGAGATAAATAATGAAAAACTAAGTTTTCTTTCCAAAAAAAAGTTAATAAAATTATTTTATTTTCTATCATTTTTCTTAAATAGCTTGTACGCATTTTAATCTCGTTATATCAATATTGGGTTTTTTTTGCATAATATGCAATTGATATAACACATATATGTGAAATATGCGATATATGACAACAACAGCTGAATAAATATTATGGAAAATATTTTTCTGTGGTAGTTTTTCTTCAGTATGATCACGTTATATTGCCGTATTTTGTACCCGTGATTATTTTTTTTCTAATATTCATGTTATATTAGCATTAAATCCATCTAAATCTCACTTTAATGAAGCAATAAATGTGATTAAATATAAATAACCACCAAAATTTTAGTACATTGTTGATATTATTCGATAGAGCACAGTACGCTGATAGTATTTTACTAACACATTCGCTAAATGATCTACTTTTATCTGTCACGAATAATCTTTGCTCTGATTTTCTAAAATGAATCGTCTGTATTCTCTCATAAATTAGAGAACAGTATACTCTTGACAATAGCTAAAAACTACTTCAAAAATGTTGGTTAGGAATATATTATACTGATACAATCAGTTCAATATGATCTGTGTGTCTCTGTTGTTTTGTTAAGCACAGAACTCGTTAATTAATTTTTTCTCGAACATATTCCAAGATGTAATTTAATATGAAACATTTCTGTCAAGTCCAGAATCTACGTTGCTCTAAAATTAATTAATAAATCTGTTTTTGAAGTAAACATTTTCGAAATAATTATTCCTAAAATTCGAACCTATCATAACAGATTCATTTGATATTACGAAAAATAATACGATTTAAATCAATTTGATTAGTATTAACAATAATAAACAGGAAAAGGAGATTTAAGAAAATTCTTTTAATCTAAAAGTTTTATTTTAATTGCTTTAGACTAAAGAGTTTCTTTTTCTTCTCTCTACATGTCATCTCTTCATTTTAGTGTCGAAAACCATTATTAAATATGACATGCAATTCTTATATATATATATATGTCAAAAATTCCTTTCTAATAAGAATAATAAGTACTCTAACAGGACGTTATTTACCTACTTTTTTCTTGATTCTATCGTGCTTTAATGTTTATGACAAAAGCGCACTTTTACTTGATCCTATTAACGTTTAAAATAAAAATAAAATCCCTGTTCATATGATACAGTCTATGAACTAGGTTAATTTGACGTCAAAACTTTAATTATACATTTACAATTTTATGATATGAAAAAAATAACTTTTTCAACAGCTGTTTAGAATAAATTACCAAACATAAAATCGACCAAATATCCATTTACAACTTATATATATAATAAATATTCCATAGTTGCAAATAAAATTTCAGTTTTTCGAACTAATATATTAATCTATATATATGTCTAAACTAATAATAAGACTTGATAATTGAGATTATTTGAATTTTTGTAACATATCTTATAAAAATAAAATAACCAATAAATAGTTTGATTGTTTTGTGTTAAGAAAAAATAATTTTTTTTTTATTTTATTTCAATCAGGAACGAACAAAATATTTCAATAGATTTTATTCGTAAGTGTAATGCTGTTTTGTTTCACCAGAATGAAAATCATACTAATACATTAACATACATATAACATCAACATTTTTTTACTAAGATATTTGTAAGATAGATTGCATTAATGGAGCAAGTTCATTACTATCGACATTTTTTTTTAGCTGCTGTTTCTTTTGCTTCTCGTGCTAATTCATGAGTTTTCATACAACAAAATATAAGACGAGAAAAAATAGATGCAGTTTGTTCTTCACCAAAACGTACATTTAAATAATTCCATAGGAGATCAATAAAAATATTTTGTGCATCAAATACTTTTTGTGATTCAATTAATATTGGTTCGATAGAATCAGCTCCTTTAGAAAATATTACAATTAATATTAATAATTTCATAACTAAATGATCGTTTGAACATAATTGTTGTACTTCTTCAGTCAAGTTCATTGCTTTGTGATAAACGGAATCAGAGTAACCACGTAATGCACTGACATTATAACAATAATCATTCGGCGTATGTGATTCATGAAAGATTCCTGTATTTACATTCGTACATATATAAAAATGGCAAAATAATATTGTCATTAAATTATGTTTAACAAGTGTAAGTCGATCATCTTCATGTAATGACTAGAAGAATAATTGTATAAAATAAAATTTATTTATTAAACATAATAAAAGACTTACATTAAATTGAGGTGTTAATTTAAAAAATGTTATCATTCGTAAAGTACTAATATGTGCTGGTTCATTTACAATATCAACTAAATCGTGAAGATCTCGTAGGCATGGACTATCCAAACCTTTTATGATTGAAATATTTAATCGAACAGCTTGTGTATAATGTTCTTCAATTTGTTTTAATAAAATACGTGTATTACCATCAAAAGAATATTTATATTCATTTGAATCATCATCGGATGAATCTTGAGATTTTAAAAAAATATATTCGGAATATCCATCATCAGGTGGAATCGATGGTGAATATGTTGATGCTGATAATATAGATAAACTTTGTGACATAGCACGTAAACGTCGATTATCATCAATTTTTCGTTTTTTTGTACGTTTTTCTTCTTCTGACATGATCCATTCTTTGCGTAAACCTTTTTCAAAGCATTTTTTCAAACGACAATATTTACATCTCTAAAACAAATTTTTTTTGAGAATTAATAGAATAAGAATGAAAGATTTTTATTTACGAACTTTTCGTGTTTCTAATGTAATTATACAATCATTTGTACCAACACGACATTTTAATCTATTCTAAAATAATTTTGAAAAAAAAATAAAAGAAATATTAATTAATAGAATTGATTTTATATTTACTGAAGTTTGTAATGCATTACGTCGAAAAAATGCTTTGCAACTTTCACATGTTATTTGATCGAAGTTATAACCTAATTATATATATAGATAAGAATACATAAAATAGAAATGAAAGTTATGTCAGTGACAAACACGTTATTTATTCTTACCCATGGCTGGTGCATGGCATATGACACAAATAAGATCGTGTCGATCACGTTTACGAAAGGCTCCATTGGAATATGAACGTTTTCGATGTTGTTGTTGTCGCATAGCTGTTATGTTTATTGATGGTACTCTATGGTCTGTTTGCATTATAAATATATGTAATTAATTTGTGTGAAAGTTATTTTTTAATATTAACTAAAATTAAACAAAATTGATGGATAATGGAATAGTAATCTAGCGCACACTCAAAATACACTCAGTCAGGCTCGAACTGAGTTTGTGTGCGATTGTCTTGACGAGTAGGAAAAGAAAAAGAGGAAAAGAAAAAAACTAACGACAATAAAATATGCGAGTTCGACGGCTTGATAGAAAAGAAAAAAAAGAAAGAAAAAAAAGAAAAGAATTATTCAATAATTGTTTGATCAATTCAATATACTCTACCCAAGTCGAAAGGCATTCTCATTACATATACGAGATGTTCTATCAATCAACTGAAATTATGATGAAGTTAGAGAAGGGTGTGGGTGTGGGGTGTGGGTGGATACGATTGAGTGGGTGGGTGCGAGTGCGGGTGTAGGTTTGGATGAGAAAATAACAACCACACCCATCCTCACCCAGGCCAACACCCACACCCACCCACACCCATGCCAACACACACTCACGCGCACCCACCCACATCCACCCATATACCCACACTCAAATTTACACCCACGCTCACCCACCCACACCCATGCCAACACACACTCACGCGCACCCACCCAC